TTTTTTTTTTTTTTTTTTTTTTTTGAAAAGTGTGACAGTTGCCTGTGCCTGTAATCTTAAATGTAAGGATGAGAATCGGATTTGGGCAATGAATTCCAATCTCATAACCACTTCAGCTGTGGATACGTACATAGGCTTCAGAAAGACAGACTTTCAGACATGCGTTTTCTTTCATGTTTCCTGTTGTCTGGCTTAGGCAGTCCCTGCTTAGCATGCTAGTGGAGTCCCAAATCTAGGCACCTAAAATTCTCGCTTCACTTTATATGGGATTTTGGTGCCTCATTTGGATTTGTGAATTCCATTTGCATGCTGGGGGACTTAAGCATTTCTGTAAATCTTTCCCTGGCTAGAAGAACCTTGAGCCTGTCTCTTGTTATGTTTATATAGTGCCTTGCACAATGGGGTACTGGTTTCTATCTGCAGCTGCAGCACAAGTCAGAAGCATATCTTCATCACCAGTCTTTTTAGTAGGCTGGCATTGCCCCGATGTGTAGTATAGAGACTGTACGGTATAAATAAAGCTAATTATAATAATCTATGCTATAAATAAAGCTAATTAGAAAGTCAAATGGATTCCTTTGCAACAGTGCACTATAAGGTGTTAAGGAGCAACTGTGTGCTGGAAGTCTGCAATTGTGGGGGAATTACCTTGAACAGAATAGACAGTATTATATTTACCTGAATCCAAGACTACTTCAAATTTAAATTAACCCCAATAATTTTATTCTATACATGGAAAATTTATAAACTTGTTATTGCATTCCTTACATGGAAAACTATTATTGGAAGGCCATTTTAAATTCACCTCCCTGCACCACCCCCCCCCGCACCCTGCAGTGGGGGCCAGGGCAGACAGCATGATCCCTTGCCACATGTCCCTGCCATTTGCACACGCAACCCTTGTCACAGTGATAGGAAGTTGTTTTGTCTGCATCCTCCTTCAGGTTTGCTGTCAAATTGACTCGGAGATTATTTTTCCTATCTACATGTATGTTTTGAAGGACAGAAAATTCCCCTGAAAGCCATGAAAGGGTATAAAAATTATTCAGCCAGTACATGGTATGTGTGCAGCTATTCACTCTTTAAGCCTTTAGCACATGCATGATTTGAATATAGTTATTTCAGGCTTTCCCTGTGTATTAGGAAATATAGCATTTGAATTAAGTTGTGTGCTAGGTTTCCACAACTTTTGTCATGTAAAAATTTTAAACTGCTTCTGATGACACTGTCATAGGGGTACTTGCCATTTCCCCCAGTAATAGGAGACAGGGCACTTTTGGAAAGGGGGAGAAAGGAGAGGCTTAACAAGCCATTTCTGTGCCCTCGGCAATGGTGGTGGTGGACATTTTTGCACCCCCACACAAGTAGTGCCCAGGACCCACCCTTAGTTACAATACCAGGAGAGCTTTTATTCAAGTCTCTCCAACATCCAGTTGCTGCTACAGAAATCTCATTCTGTAGCCTCTGTGATTTACGCTGGCTTTAAAAGTTTGGAGTTTTCATTTGGGCTAGAAAATGTTATATTTAATGTTCTCTTGATCTTGATTCTCATTCTCTTAAATTTGAAGTCACCTGATTTGGTCTCCTTTTTATATGTAATGAGCTGGTGACAGGTATGTGGAGGTTCTGTCTATGTTAAGAATCCAAGTAGCTCAGAAATGAGTCAGTAAATGAGCTAAATACAAGGTTGTAAAGGCTAATTATTATGGAATGAAAATAATGAGGGTCAGAAATCTATAGAAATCACCAAAGGATGGTCTAGTACAGGTTGCTAGGTTACCAAACCACAGGAATTTACGCAGTTGCATTACTATCTCTTAGTAGGTATGTTGAGCATTTTATTTTCCACCCACTAACTAATCTATGTACAGTACTATAGTTTTTCCTACCAACAGGAAGGGGAAGTCTGAAACAGTTTGAACCTTTGTCCCTTTGTAGGATGAAACCTGGTGAAATGCCAGTTGTTACCTTTGCAAAACTGGCTGTTTTGGGTTTCGGTCACATTGACTGACAAGGAATTTCAGGAATTCTGCTGAACATGTTTGAAATAGAATTGAAAACAATAGGCCTTTCATTCAAATCTAAATGCATAACCTTTTTGCATAATTTTAACTTGCTTTCTTGGTACTAATTGCCTAGATCTTTATTTTTATACTTGGGCCTTAATTTTTCCTCTAGTGGTGTATTAAAAAGCTTATTGGAAATGGAATACTTGTTCAGTATTTTACTTGCATGACATTTACTTTAAGACTTTTTTTTAAATGACTGTAATGACTTTTTTTTAATTGCTCTGAAATAAAATAGTGCTGTGTTATCGCAATTGCAGCTACAAGGTCATTAGTTTTTTCTGGAACAAATTCCTCATAAAGCAGGGTAATGCCTCAGTTACTGTTTACTTGGTGGGTTACCTTGTTATGCTGTTCCTTGCAGCTTGTATTTTTAGAGAACATTTATGTGCTAAGTAGTCTTACCTGTTGTTTAACCTTTGATCTTTGTGATCTAAATGCTAAAATAAGAGGTTGCTGTTGTCAGCAGGAATAGTAGAAACTTGGCATTGATGAGTAAGCTTGGAGGATATTCTTGTGTAAGGTGGTGATCTGGATTTCAACTATAAGTTGAGAGGGGTACTATGTTACTCTCAAGTCACAAAAGAGGCAAGGTAGAGATGCACCTTGTAGGTTAATTATATCTGATGGGTCTAAGATGAAGTGAGCTCTTACAAATCTGTACAATGGATCTCTACCCTGTCTTCTGCCCAGTTATGAGTCAGAACACACTATCAATCACAGTTTTCTATAGCTTATAGGAGCTATATCACAAAACTATTGTAATGGAACATAATAGTTAAGGTTTTAAACAGGATGTAAATACTGATTAGAAAATATCCACTTAACCTGTTGCAATTATAAGAGTTAAACAATTGAGTGACATGGCAACCTCCAACCTGGCCCACATGGGGCTGCTCTGACCCAGCTTGCAGGGCACTCCTGCCTGGTCCAGCACCAGTGAGGCACTTGCAGCCCTCAGAGGTACAGTGGGGACTCAGCAGCTCCCCAGGGCCGCACCTCACAAGCTGGCTGGGCCAGGGGGGTCCTCTCCGGTCCTGGGCACAGATAGGACATGCAGGAAGAGCGCGCTGTAGGGCTGAGCCACATGCCCGGGGGAGCCACCCTATGCTCCCTTACCTCTGTGTTGCTCTGCAAGGCCCTGCAGCCCCTGTGGGTCTGACTGGGAGGCATGTGTGGGCTTTGCCTGCAGTGGCAGCTGCAGCAGTAGCTTCAGCCACAAAAGGCACTACACCTGGCCGGGCGTGGGGACAGGGAGGTCGCCTCTGACTTCTGCACTCCCCAGAGCAGAGTTGAGATGCTCTCCTTGTGGACAGCAGAGTAGCAGGAAGGGGGAGGAGGGACTAGTATCTGATAGGTAGCCTCCACAGACCCCAGTGCAACTGCTTGCAGCCTCCCTGCTGCATGCCACAAACAGCACCTCCCTCCACTCCTCCTTGTTTCTCCCTCCCTCTCACCAGCCCTGCTGCTATCTAGTTCCTTCTGGGGCACTGCACAGCTTCCCTTCTCCCTCCACTCCTCCCAAACTCCCTTTCCTTGCTGGCCTGCACCCCGTTCTGCAGTAAACGATAACAGGAAGCTATATCCAGTTATCACTGGGCTTATTGGTTAAACAATTATTTATTTTTTCACATCCCTACATGGGTGACTGGTGCCTCCTAATACTGGGGGAGTCCCCCCAGCAGCTGATCATCGCTGGCAAAAGTACTGGTGGCGCTTTTCATAGCGGGGTGCACAGCTAATCTCAGGGGCTGAAAATGCTCCTGCATGCACCCCCTACACATTGATAATGCATCCTTACTTTTAAATAAGTCAGATTCAGAGTGAATGTGTGTAATATACTGCAGCATTAAAGTTTGCAGTTTTCCCCCTTACTCTATAATAAAATTAAATTAAGTATCATGATTGTGCCCATTTGATTCACCATTGTAATTTAATTTGAAACAGCATTTTACTCAAATTTTGTGGTGGCAGGTAATTTACATTTTGAAACGCTCACAAAAATTTTTTTTCCCCCCACTGTAGTTTTGTTACTGGAGAAGATAGAGAATGATGACATTTTTAATAAAACTTTGAAGATTACAGACTTCGGTCTGGCTAGGGAATGGCACAAAACCACTAAAATGAGTGCAGCAGGCACCTATGCATGGATGGCTCCAGAAGTTATCAAGTGCTCAATGTTTTCTAAAGGAAGTGATATCTGGAGGTAAGTGCTTTGTCTACTTCAGATTACTACATCACATTGCTTAATAGCAATTTTCTCCTTTTAAGATTTTGCAGAAACTGATATGTGAAGAAACCCTTTGTTTGTAAGGTGTTCTGAATTTCTCTTTTACCACCCGTTGAGTAAAATTCTTGTTTCAGAATATACCACAATTGGCCTGTCTAAATAGTCATAATTCTCTTATCCTTTTATTTTAACACATTAATATCTTAAATAAATCAATTACTCAGTAAGAGAAGCCTTTCTTTTTTTTTTTTTTTTTTTTTTT